GATTGGCCACTTGACCTGATGGTTGCTTCCCATTGGCTTTTCTCTCCTAGAAATCCAGTGATTGGCCACTTGACCTGATGGTTGCTTCCCATTGGTTTTTTCTTTCGCTTCAGTCCCATTAGTGTTTTTAGCAACCATATGCAAAACAGCAAGTCTAACGCCGGTATCCAAAAAAAGTTATTCACTCCAGAAATAAGTGGTTTGATAACATGCCTTAACAGTCTAACCAGGAAGAAAAAAATTATAGAAAATAGTGTATTATTTTTTCCCTGGTCTCTATTCATGTTTTATCCTTTAGAAAACCAGGAGTTTGTCCACATGACTTAGCTACCTACTAAAGACTAGATAATACAACCAATACCCCGCATTAAACATGATAAAAACCAAAGGAAATATCTTTTTAGCTAAATTATCGGTTTTTTCAGGAGGAGAAAGGGATTCATTAATCCATTCCAAGATCCCTATTCTTTTATCTTGTTGTGGGGATGAAGGAGGACAGTCTGAAATGTCAAAAACTTCATGATGAACGGCGTTTGAGTAGATGGTGTCTGGTGTTTCTTCTGGTTTAGTTTTCTGAAACCAAGAAAATTTCCAGTTACGTCATAATCTGAGGGGAAGGGGGTGAATGCTCAGYGACAGCCATGCAGGGAGAAAAATATCTATCTTCCTGACTTTTAACGCTCTAGGGATTGATAGTCCCACTTTCTAAATTTTCCATGTTCCTTGTCTYTTGTATTGCGTTACGCTGTTTTAGTTTTTATTATGGTCACTTTACGTTGCGTTACATTTTTAGAATACAAGGAGAACGTTAACTGTTAAATGAGTTAATATTAGTCATCCACTTAAATATTCGATTTCCGTGTTCACATTGAAAGGTTATGATTGGCGTTAGGAAGCGATGGATTGTGGATCACGTTTGACGCAAGACCCGGAAGTTCGTCACAACTTGTAGCTTTGGGTTTAATTGAACAGTGAAACACTGCATCGCACATTATTACGTAGAATTGTAGACCGCTTTCCTTTGGAGTGGGATATTTTTTATATTTATAAAAATATTTATGCATTGTGATTGGGAAGCCATTTCAATGTGGTTCCCTTTACGTGATGCCGGTAAGCGAGTAACGTATGTTTCTTACTCAAACGAAAACCACTCTATTCTCTCGTTTACGAGACCTCATTTAGTTCAACCGTATTCCATCCCATTACATATAGCTGCATACGTTACATTCAATCTCATTCTCACCTTGACAGCTATACCGTTTTGTTTAGTCTTTTTCGCGGTCGCTTCCCTCCTTTGCTTCTTTATCATTTCCAAAGAATACGCTTTGTCCCTGTAATTAATCACTGCGTACTCCGCAAAAGCAGCAAATACCATAAAATACGACACAAATAAATACCAGTCCAACGCCTTGACATACGACACAACAGGCATGGATCCTTGTCCTACTCCAATAAGAAGGGTAGTCATCGTTAGAACTGTCGTAATCCCGAGTGATACACGAGCGGGAGCCGAATGCCTGTCGACGTAGAATGACAACCACGATAACATGACGATAAGAATGGCAGGAATGTAAACTCTTGTGAGATAGTGGCCCAGTCGACGAGAGAGGTTCAGCTTGATTCCAAGAGAAGAAAACGTTCCTGTAATTAATAAATGAAACTARATTTAAGCACTGATTATAATGACGTACAGGTGAATTTCAGGAGAACGGCGTTCACCTCCACCCTATCCCCATTTCCCGCCTACGCTGCTACCAGAAGTAGCACTAAACTAGCTATCAATAACTAAACCCGTCCCAAGTTTTAATATCAAAAACAAAGGCAACTACATCAAGATTATAGAAAGTTTCAATCAGAAGGTTTTTTCCAAGATTTTGCATATTTTCTAATTTTAGCTGTGTCCGAATATTCTAATGACTGGTAGGTTTCACTTGACGTCATTTCCTGTCTCGCGTGAAATAATCATCAGCTGAATCAAAAATTTTCAATATTTTTTTTCCTGGTTGGCCGCAAATGATCTTCGGTTTTTGACCACCATCTGGGGCAGATATTGAGATTCAAAGACTTTTATCAACCGATTAACAGGACGTTGGCATGATGGCGTCATTTGACTCCCACTACCAGAGATGCTTTGCGAATTTTCTTTCACATTCAAATTCGTATTTCCGTATGAAAACAGTAAGAGAATTGGTGCTAATTACCTGAACAAATTAACATACATAACAAAAAAAAGTATGCAAGGGATTCTGGTAGCGGGAGTGATATGAAACCGTCACGCAAACGTCCTATTAAAACTCACTGAGCAATACTCCAGTTTCGAGTTCTCCGTTACTCGTCAGGGTTAGCCTCCGCGATTTTGTGTAGAATTGTCGGATCCGAATAGTCATGTGTTTTAGTGAAGGTCTGTGGAATTTCAAAGTGTTTGCAAATTTGTGCATTCTTTACTTTACCGTCCGGCATTTGTGACATTTAGTATCCCAGTATCTGATAAGAAATTCCAAGAAATACAAATACGATACAAACACACCTGTTAGGAACTCCTGTGTCTTGTTAATCAAGGCGACATCTCGAATCTCAAACTGAGGAATCTCTTGCTTTCCATTCCACGTTTCGTGCTGAGACTCCCAATCGTAAATAATGTCTTTTGTAGTGTAGCCATCTAAGGAGCCAAATGGAAAACAATTAATGAAACTCTTGAAGGCAACTAAATAATCCAGGTTGTTTTGGATACTTTGAACTTGGATGTGATGTTTTCCATCCATTTACTAACTAATTTACTAACTTTTAAAGGCTTTAAATTTTGATAAAAACTCAACTAACTCGTTCTCACATAAAGACACTCTCACAAAAGCATACTCCCACAAAGCATGCTAGTTAACAAATAGTCGCAAAGCATCACTGTTACAGTCTTAATTTTGAGAATGAAATTCATGTGTCTTCAAAAGTGCAACCTTTAACAAAAAAATGACACTCTAGAGAATCAGTACGTTATCTGAAATGCTGTTCGGGTCTAATCTCGATCTTGGTGTTGCTCATAGATAGGGTAAGTCATTTTGCTTCTTCTAATATTCATGTGGTGTTTGAGAGTTTGCAGCAATTACTTGACGTAGACAAATGGGAATGAACAAATGTCACTGTACTCATTGTACTTACAACTCGCAAAATATATTCCACATTCTTGTTCATCCATGGGAAACTTGCGAAAATCCATCGGGCAAGAACAAATCAGAGTAATTCTAGGTTGAAATAAAAGATATGTGAATGATTCGTCGGTTTAATAACACATTCTTTTTATCGCACGTCACGCCATTGTAAATACAGCCTGTTAGCCATACTGAGGTTGAGGAAAAAACTGGGTCGAGTTAACTTGGCAGTGCATTGTGGGGCTGTTCTATATTACCAAGATGGCGGCTAGTTCGTCCCCTAAACCTCGAAATGACTAATAAGGAAGAGGATGTGTTGATTCGGCGATATTTAACTCTTTCTTCCCTTCAGGCATTTTGGCTTTAACAGGTGTGAGATAAAATAGTATGCAATGCTTTCTCTTGGCACACCATGAAAATCCCATTTATCACTTGCATTTGGCTTAATAAACAAACACAGGCAGTGCAATAAAAAAAACTAATATTTATAGGTCAAAACGGTCTGTCTGTCCGTCTGTCTGTCCGTCTGAATAGAGAGAATAAGAGGAGAATATCAAGTGCCCTTGGTGGGAATCGAACACACGTCCTCGGTATTCTAGTCCGATGTGTTAATCATTACACCACAAGGACCAACCACGCTGGTAACGCAGCCGGAATATGAAATGTAGGGTGCTCGTGAGGATCCTAGAGCTATTTTTTTTCTCTATAGGTAAGTTGTATGTGTGGGCTCACCTGGTGCTAGTCAGGACACGTCCATCATTGTATATTCTCATGTATTTATTCTTCATCGTCAAGCCATGTATTTTGCCTTCCACTTCATTTTCAAAGAAAGTGTCAGGTTGCCACAAAGTATCACTCAGTTCTCCATTCAGCGTGACGCTAGGAATGGTGCTGTTGCGGGTTTGACCAAACGCTAGACGAGAATCCCGCCAGGACTGCCGAAAATACATCTCTATTGTGAATTGCTGTGGGACACGTTAGAATCATAGTTAGCAATGCCGATCATTGTCTCAATAGTCCTCTTCACAGTTCCGCATCTAAGCGAGACGAACGGTGAGCTTGCAATGATAGATCAGACCTTTTTTTAACATTTTGGACAATTATTCACGTCTCTATCATTGCAAGCTCACCGTTCGTCTCGCTTAGATGCACGGCTACCTTTCAAGATGGCACAGGGAATTGCGAAAGGGATTGTTCCCTTGCTTTCTTGGGGTACAACATTAGACAAAGTGATAGGCCTTATTGTATGTATAAGGGGTATTGTAAGGCCTTATCGTAAGGCCAACGATCCAAGTCTCGTAAAATAAAATCCACTCCGTTGTTAGTTCGGGTTACGACCAAGCGTTTCAAGACGTACAGCGTGGTTATGACGGCAATCTGGTGCTAGTTCAGCTGGTTAGCCTGGCCGAGCTATATATTTATAATGTGGTATTTTGTCCAAACATTAACGTTTCTGAGTTAGTGGCCATGGTTTAAGTAAGCGAAGGGGAAAGGGGGGGGGAGGGGGGGCGGGGGGGCAACGAACCCCTTGCTAATAAACGTATTACTTTAGTGATATAAGAATCAGATTTATTACTGTTTATGGAGTCATATTTACCATGTCTGCTTCTCTGAAGTCCCCAATGGAGACGAGTTTGATATTTGTCCTTACAACCAACGCTCCGCTTACTTTTGAAAAGAAAGGGAAAAAACAAGATTGGAATATTTTTGGTAGTAAAAAATGTTTTGAAATTGGACATGAGAAGCCAAAATTTCACTACATCAAAAACACTGGCGTATGCATAAAATGTTTGAGATAGCGTTCTTTGTCTTGGAGACCGAAGATATTGAATGGTACCATTCAAGCCAACTTTGGAGCAGTTATATGAAGAGTTTGGGCTACCTGTGTCTATAATGAAAAGAGCGCAATGCGCATGCGTCGACCTCGCGCTATTTTGACTATGACGTAACGCCAAAAAATTCAGGATAAATTGTCTCCTTAATAAAGTACAAACGAATAAACAAGGCTAGAAATATTTAAGGGAAAAAACATGTTAAAAAGTAAAAACAGAATAGGCACCAGAAAGGTAAGTAGATGTAGTCCAGGGCCCGGTTGCATATAGCTCTCTTAAGATAAGAGCATCCGTAAGTATTGTTCCAGAACAATAGGCCATTGTACTAAGACAATACTTACGAGTGTTTTTAAGCTTTTTTATCAGCTTAAGAGAGCTTAATGCAACTGGGACCAGGCCACAGCACAAACGTGAAATATTCACAGCTTAACGCAATTTTCCCCCAGATTATAGCCTTCATTTCTATTCATAACGCAAATCCGAGTCCATTCTCAAATTACTGGAGTAATTTTTCTATATTTTGGTCAAGGTTGAAAACAGAAGAGATGTTTGCAACCAGTCAGCTGATAAAGGCCTTCGGATAGGAGCCTGGAAACGAATGTTGTTAGCATTCTTTTGCATTCACTTCAATATTCTTGAAGTCGAAGGTAACTTTTAGTTTCTATAATTACCTCTATAGGTTATAATGTCATAAATAATCGTTACTCAATCCTATTTTCGATGTTTTAACCGAATTCAACAGAGGCTTATAGCTATGACGAAGAGGACGAACTTGTCTACTTTGAAAGCCAACCGACTAATATATTATTGAAAGACAAAAGGTTTCTGAATGAAGGTATCATTCAATCTACTCAAGTGTAGCAGAACCTAGCAGCACCAGCTGCATTGTAGTTGTAGTATTAATTATCAATAAATAACTGTAGACGCCTCGAGATGGGTTCTAGTGTTCTTGAGATGGGTGAACAGAATGCTAGCCTCCTTTACGTTAAGTAAAGTTCTCATAACTACTTATTAAATTTTGATATCTGCCTTGGTCACATGACACCTCACGTTTTACGTGGCTTGTACAATAGATAAATAAATAATAAGTAAATAATAATTGGATTAACAGTGGATTCACCAGAGCTGCTCTTCTTCCACTGGATTCCAATAGGACGTTTGCATGATGGCGTCATTTGACTCCCACTACCAAGATACTTCGCGAATTTTCTTTCTCATTTAAATTTGTATTCCCTCATGAGAATAGTAAGACAATTGGTGCTAATTAACTGAACAAAAGAAAGTGTGCAAGGGAGTCTGGTAGTAGAGGTCAATGACGCCAACGTGCAAACGTCCAATTGGAAGTTAGAAGTTGAGTTTTACGGAGGGAGGAAAACCGGAGAACCCGGAAAACCCTTGAAGCACAGAAGAGAACCMACAAACAAATCTACTCATATTAGACATCGAGCACGGTTGGTTTCGAACCCGGATTGCGTGGGCCTATATCACACGGCGGCCATGTTTATTCTCATGAGAATAAAAACCTTTGTTTCCCCAGCATAAATTAATTCTCAAGCGCTTGAATATGAGGCTACGCGTGGTGGAATCTATTGTTCAATCCAACA